GCAAGAGGGTTCGCATTCATAGAGTAGGTCTGGAGGTAAGTCAAGATTGCATCCTTTTTTTTTCTTTTTTTCTTGCTTTAAAGAATAATTAAATCAGTGCGCAACATAAAACAACACAATTATACATTGCAGGAAGAGATGCTGGCTGAAGACAGCACTGAGGCTGAGAGCGTTGTACCGGGTGAGAGCCAGGAGGCTCCTGACGCTGGACAGGTAATGGTAATGGCAAGAGGATGTGTATAGGAACTTCCTGTTTGTATTCAGACAGCAGAAGTGTGAAACCAATAGAAATGGGTGCTTTATATGCATATCTGTGTGAAGGAGTTGGAGAGTTACGCTACTTTGGAGGAGATGGATGAGGAAACAGGACCGTCTCAGTCTGTCCCTGGAGACCGACTTCTGCCCCATCCATCTGAGACCCATCGAAGCCTGGAGGAGCCTGATCATCATGTCATAGTCATTGTTAGTGACACGGACAGTGAGGGAGACCATGAAGAGGAATCTGAGGAGGAGGAGGAGGAGGAAGAGGAGCAGGTATGTAGTTGCACCGTAGCTGAAATTCAGTGATGTTTAATGCTATCATATTATAAACTTTTTTTTTTTTTACCACTTTAGGATTACGAGGATGAGGAAGAGGAGGAGGAAGATGATGATGATGATGATGATGATGATGATGATGATGAGGATGGCGGTATTGGGGAAGAGGGAGAAGAGAGCAATGAAGGTAGCGGCAGCAGAGATGGCAATGAGGCCTACGAGGGGGACGACACAGAGGTAGACACCACAAATGTGCACCGATAAGAATTCAGCTGAGAATGTACATTTCTGAATTGAAATTGAGGTAGCAAACAGGATGAAAAGATGTCATTTGAATTTTAAGAAGTAAAATTCAAATTAAATTAGAAGAAACTGCTGTAGGTATATTTTTATTTAATTTTTTTAGTCCGAGTTACCCATAGAGCGTAACATTTAGATAGCCTATTATTAATCAATAAATAAAATGGCACCAATTGAAATTAGTTCTTAATTATTAACAGTTAAAAAGTTTAGGGTTGGTAAGATTTTTTTTTTATTCATTTATTTATTTTTAAAAGAAGTATCATGTTTAATGGTCGACCGATATGGGTTTTTTGACAGCCGATGCCAATGCCGATATCTTGGAAAGCAGGGTGGCCGATATAAAGCAGATATAATTTTATTTATTTTAATTAATGTTTAAGAAATTTTAAATCATTTGAAAATTGATTAAAAAGTAAATGTGTTCAATAAACATACTTATACTTTAGATGACAGTATTTTTCACAAATAAATAAATATTTAATAAAAAATATAATAAAAAAAGGAAGTTGTCGATCGCGCGTCTCCAGTGAAGCTGAACTTGTCCGCGTTCAATTCACACTGATCGACCGTCACCCAGAGAACACGCGATCATTCAGGATACAAATGCACACTTCACAAGATCTCACAACTGGATCCGACTAAGTCTGCAAGCTTTGTGAAATTAAATGTTCATTAGTCATTCAAAGATTTGTTTAAATGATATAAATGCGTCAAACAAGAAAGTATTATAATGTTTGCCTTTCTATTACTAATAATATAAAAGCAATCGTTATAATACTTTTTGTATACATTTTAATTCCTTTGTTTAACCGTGCTATCTGATTATTAGACCGACTTCTATCCGTAGACAGAATTAGACAGAATTCTGTCTTCTATTAGACAGAACTGTTAACGACGACGGCGAACAAGAGGGAGAATGTGAGCACTGTGCTCAGGCGCTGCCGCTGTCAGGGCCGTCAAAATAAAAGTCCCTCCTCGAACGCATCAGCCAAACAGGAAAACTTATCTGCCGATATTTTAAAAATGCCAAATATCAGAACACTAATCATGTTCACCAAGGCTGCATTTATTTGTTAAATGAAGATGGGAATATTGTGAGACATTACAATTTTAAGATCTTTTCTATTTTACTGTAAGAAATTTATTCCTGTCATGGCAAAGCTGCATTTTCAACAGCCATAACTTCAGTCTTCAGTGTCATATGGTTTTTCAGAAATCTTTTTAATATGCTGATTTGGTGCTCAGGAGAAGACATTTCTTATCCATGTTCTTATCAATTAAATTTTTGTGGAAACGTTACACTATAATTCTTTGAATAAAACGTTCAAAAGAACAGAAATATTTTGTAACATTATAAATGTCTTTTTTTTTTGGTCACTTTGATCAAGAATTGAATAAAAGTACTAATTCCCTTAAATAGTTTTGAACGGTGTAATTAGTCTAAAATTATGTTCTCTGCATGGTTTTTGTTGCAAAGCTTGTGCTGGACTAATGAAATTTCCTTCATGTGAATGGGTATCAATGAAGTGTTGTTCAGTAAATTCTCTTTCCCATCATTCCAATTAAACATCCTTTGGGATATGGCTATTGAATTGAAAGTGAGTCAGTTCTTCAATTCAGTTTGCTCAGCCTTAGTAGACGTGAGTGGTTTTAGTGCAGCATAAACACCTACATTTGGGCTGAACATCAGAGATGTTTATGTAAGCACAAGTTTCCGATGTGAGCTGTCTCATGCCATTTTAATGATCCAACCGCAACTTGCCATTATGCAATGTATTTATGAATAGCTGGTGCAACAGCCTTTACACATGATTTATGATAATAACAATGTCATTCAAGTCCATTCTGCTTCAGACAAACGTTCCCTGTTTATGTATGAATCAAAATGTAATACCCATGAAATTAAATAGAAATGTTCTTCCCGCTAATTCCCGCTCTACCTCTCTTCCACACCATCCTTTCCAAGGGCCCTGAGGATCCAGGCACTGAGACAGAGGAAAGTCTTGGAGCGACAGACTCCACCCAACACATGGCAGATTCTCAGAGCTGTAAGTGCGCGTGACCTAACCATCTGTCTGAAAGGACGTGTCCGTCGTGTTGATCTTTCCATGTATTTACAATGAATAGGATTGAGGCTTTCAAGCTTCATAAACTCAGTTGTTGGTGTTTTAAAATACTTTCTCCTTTCCTTTCATCTGTATGTGATGGCTCAGTTGAAACTAGCACATTGGATGTTTTTGAAGCACCTGTCACCAGTTCTGCCCCTCGACCTCACCCCCAATCACCCAGGAGACCTCAGCATCCTCTTCCACCTCGTCTAAACATCTTGGCCCCACCTGCTCAGGAGTTGGGACCCCCTGCTCAAGTCCAGGTGTGCGCAAAGGCGTCGGTATACTGAGTGGCATACCCTGAGGAGCTTTTTCTTAGTTTGCTGTTGTTAGGCATTGTTTGGAATGTGTGTTTAAAAAAATAACTCGCATGTGTCTGCAGCGGCTCCCGGTTCGACGGCCGTCAGTGGGACGAGGCCTCCAGCTTTCTTCTGGAATGGCCAGTAGTGCAGTGAGTTGCTTTTTGGTTCTTGGTTTGGTTGTGTGGTTTGCGTCTGAGCTTGAATGCTTGTCAATCAATCTGTCTTTATCTTTTTTTTTTTCCCAACAGCAACATTTCTATGAGGATGGTGACAGGATGGTTCCTAGTACCCCTACACTTCCTCCTCCTCGCTCAGACGGATTTGCTGAAGCAATCCAGTATGTGTTTTTGCCTTTACACTTTGCTGTGGTTGTATTTTTTTATTTAGCCAAATGACTGATTTATTCTCTGTTGTATGAAGTTCTCCACAGGTGGCAGGCGTGTCACGATTTCGATTCGGTCCTTCAGATGATCTCCCGCAGACCAGCTCCTCTCACTCAGATCTTGGCCAGCTGCCATCACAAGGTAGCACACATTACCTTACATTCTTTTTCAGACTAATGACTGTTCATTAACTGCTCTTTCTGTCAGATTTAGGTTGGTTGGTTCACTTTTTAATGCTGTCTTCTGTGTTCTGCAGGTTTAGGCATGTATGAGAGTTCTGTTTTCCTTGGAGCTCATGAGGAGGAGTCAGGAGGCCGCAGTGTGCCCACAACCCCACTACAGATTGCCGCTCCTGGTACGAACAAAACCATGCATCCTAATAGTCAAAATCATTTAAAAATAATCTTGGAAAAGTGCAGGATTATGCAGTGGCCACTTGTGCAATTTCATTTACTGAGAATTCAAATGCCCCTCCAAAGCGGCAAAGAGAGACACCGAGAGATGACAAGCTATTTCAAAATAGTTTTCGTATCCCATTTTATACCTAATTCTCCTCTACCATTTTACAATCGGTTAAATAATCTTTTTTAATCCATTCAGTGACAATTTTATCAGAAACCGTGGCATCTGAAGCGATTGAGCATGCTTCTCAGTCTGTGCCCATGGTGAGCACCTCCACACCCGGCCTTAGTGCTCCTGCAGGCCCGAGTGGAGTGGAGAAGAGAGATGACATGTTCATGGACGCAGGAGACAGGTAAACATGAGCCCTTAAATCTACCCACATGAGACACTGACATCACAATTTACTTCCACTGTTGTACCATAAGACATTTGTTATTTCATTGAGAGATCATGGGCTCCATAATGGAGCAGGTGTGTAGTATGTGTGTATATTATTAAGATAACTGTGTCTGATAAATATTTCTGCAGTGCTGAGGCTTCACTTGAGGCTGTGTCACAGACTGAGGCGGAGGAACTAGCCCAGCTATCAGATGAGGCCTGTCTGCCTTCCACAAGCCAGGAACCTTCATCTAGTTCTGCAGGTAAAAATAAACACTAAAATTACGCTAACCTCCAATATCTCATATCGGTTTCACAAACTCTGTGTCTTTTCTCTCTCTCTCAGACACAAGCAGCTCTCAGCCTCCTAAAGTCAGAACGGGATCTGGGAGACAGTGGACTGTTGGTCGTGGTTCTAGGAGCTTTGTAAAGAGAGGTAAGAATATGTACAGTTTTCTCCAACTGTGGCAAATATCTTTATTTTTTCATACACTTAGTTTTTAGCCACGATCAAGTGGATTTGACAACTTTCTTGCTGTAGATGGCGTCATGGGTATGAGGGGACGTTTTGCCAGGTGAAGCAGCTCTGGAGCAACACATTCTCTCCAAAAGAACACAGCCATACCTTTTTTCTGCTTTAAGGCTATGTATTATAAGTTTTGTTTGTTAGTTTAATGCTCTGAACAATCCATCAATGTTATTTGAATGAGTTTACATCCGTACAATAAAACTGTTTTGAAGGAAATCTTTTTGTCCATAATTCTGTCTCCAAAGATGCAGCTTTACCATGAAATGTTGTTTTCCACTGCACCGAAGACAAGTGTATCACTAGAAATATAAATTTACAATATATGGCATGAGAGAAAGACATGAATGACTCAGTTTTTCTGGGTTTCTGGGCATTTAAAGAAGCTGGTTGCTGAGCTTTCCTTTGGACCAGTAGCAGGTTTTAGGATCACTGGTTTTTCTCTTTCCATTTTCATGCTGTAATACTTGTCTGTGAAAGAAAGGAACACAAATGCAACATTAAGAGCAGTGTTTTTGTTCATTAAATAATATTATTGGTGAATAAAACATATCACACATATAATAAAAACACATCTCTTCCATCTTTATTTGACCTTCTAACTCTAGCACTCTCTATTCCAATCTATTCTTAAAAAAAAAAAAAAACACTTGTCCCTTTTAGACTTGCACTCTATTCATTTGCTGCTTGTTTTCTTTAAAAAAAAAATCTAACACTTGCTTTCTAATCTTTTTGTATTCTATCTGTTTTTTCATTTATTATACAATTAACAAAAGCAAAAAGACCTCTAACACTAGCTCGCTCTATTTCTATTCAATCTATTTTCTTTTTTTTATTATTATTTTAAAAACCCTTGCCATGTGTACTGCGTTAAGCTAACTGAGACTTGTTATAGCACTTGTATATCATTGCTCTTTTGTTGATTTTGATTGCTTCCATTGTCCTCATTTGTAAGTCGCTTTGGATAAAAGCGTCTGCTAAATGACTAAATATAAATATCAGATGAAATATAAAAAAAAATTTTAAATGTTGCACTGGCAACTGACTAAAAGGTATTAAATAAAAAAAAAAAGTATAAACTTGGAAATGCATAAAATAAAAGCTAATTCTAAATATGAATAAATACTATAATAGGATATAAATAATACGAAAATACTGGTTGAGTGATTAGCCAGGCTTTCAGTTGTCCATCAATGACAAATTTAGCTACATTCAGACATCCACAAAACTCCACCTTGGTTGAGAACTCATTAGCTGTAACCTGAAACAGTGCTGGGACCGAGTCCAGTAGCAGCTTTAATGATTGACATAACACTCACTTTGAGAGAATACGTAATACTTGTATCCTTCTTTCACCCTTGAAGGAACAGACACGGCTGAGGTCACTATGGTCGGAAATCCTCTCCAGGTCTTTGAGATACTGATCACTTGCCCCAGAGCTGCATCTGTGAAAAGAAGAAATCTTAAAATGAACCAAAATGCTCAAAGGTCTGTTTCAGTTAAACTGTTTAAGGTCGCTTATCTGGTCTGTTAGGCCTCACTTGGAACAAAATGTCCTGTTTGAGGCCTTTGTGAAACATCTGTTCCAGGAAGTACTATATATGGTATTTTCACTTTTCTGCATGTTTGCACAAATGCTTGTCTACACACAACTTTCCCCTCTCCCTTTACGTCTAATTTCCAATTATTTTGTCATTTAAATGTGATTCATCTCTTAAACGTAATGCTGTATTGTTTGAAATGGCCTTATTCTCAATTTTATTGTGATTCTTTACCAGCTTGTCGTCTGGCTCTCGTCCTCACTGTAAACACAGGATATCTTGGCTTTTTCCCACAGCTGGGAGTAACCTGGTATGTGTACGTTTGTGCCATTTCACCTGCAGAAATCAATTTGAAAGTCAGAGACAGAGGAAAGTCTTGGAGCGACAGACTCTGACACCAACCTAATAAAAACAGGCACCCATAGTGTGCTTACTGAATGTACATGTGCATTTTTCTTCCATTTCTTACCTCTTCTGAAGAAGATTACCGACTCTCTTCTGCTTCTGTACTGAGGTATAGATAAAGCAGCTGTGATATGACCAATCTGTCCGAAACCCTGGCTGATGGGTTTGGGAAAGCCAGGATCCATCATACCATTCTCAAACCTCCAGTAGTTCCTTCCCTGTGAAATACGCACAAACAGCACATAGCAGATGTTGTTGAGCACCACTTCTGTTATAATTTTCTGTGATTGTCAATCTGTAGTGAATTGAAGTGGTTTGTATCAACCTTGAAGAAGTAGGTTTTGCCCTGGCAGTTGCAGCGGGTGTAAACCGTGTCGATGGGAGATGGGATTCCCCACACCTTTGTAATTAACTGAGGAGGATCAGGATTTCTCTGTTTGTCCAGTGTCCAAAAATAATGTCCTATAGAGAAGAAAGGGAAAGTGGAATTTTATTCACAAATAACATCTGGTTTTACAGTTCCCTTGAATTGAAGTGGTTTGTATCAACCTTGAAGAAGTAGGTTTTGCCCTGGCAGTTGCAGCGGGTGTAAACCGTGTCGATGGGAGATGGGATTCCCCACACCTTTGTAATTAACTGAGGAGGATCAGGATTTCTCTGTTTGTCCAGTGTCCAAAAATAATGTCCTATAGAGAAGAAAGGGAAAGTGGAATTTTATTCACAAATAACATCTGGTTTTACAGTTCCCTACACTTTGGAACTTTCCATTTTAATTTTTGATTAATGAAATATGTTTTTTTCCGTGTACTCTGTTCTAACGGTTAACAACTGAAAATGGAAAAGATAAATGCTTTGAACCAAAAATAAATGAAGTGTTGCTATAAAGCGAGCGTGCATCTGGTACTGACCTCTGAACACCACAATGGTACCATTTCTGAGAGTAGTCAAACCACTGACTGGACGCCCACTGCAGAGGTTAGTGTCATAATCATCTGCAAAAGAAAAAAAAATTTTTTTAATTATTTAAAAAAAAACAACCAAAGTATTGAAATTATCCAAAACTTTCTTTTAAAAAAAACAACTAGAATTTGAAATATTCATGCTAGCATTAGAATGTCAGCACAGTTTTCAGATGGGAAGCATGAAGGCTCTTATTGGAAACAAAATAACAATAAATATTAAGCATGAACGATAAATATGCAATAATTATAAAGCATGAAAGCTCTTACCAGCTTGATAATCTCTAATACTATCTGTTTTGCCATTCTTGTCTGAGCTAGGTTTAAGAGGTTTTTCTGCTGGTTTGATTGGAACAATGCCACTAAGATCCTTGAGAGGTTCCTTTGGTTCGGATTTGTCGTTCTCGTCTATGCTAGGTTTAATGGGGTTTTTTGTTGGTTTCACTGGAGCAGGAGCGGATGGCGTCTTCTTTGGGACAGGGGTAGCTCTAGGATCCTTGAGAGATGACAATTCCTCTGGGTCTTCACTCTGTGCCTTGGTAATCATTTCAGTGACAGAATTTTCTGTTGGTGCTCTGCTTGATGGACCTTCTGTTGGTGTTGTGCTTGATGGACCTTCTGTTGGTGCTGTGCTTGATGGAACTTCTGTTGGTGCTGTGGTTGATGGACCTTCTGTTGGTTCTGCGCTTGATGGACCTTCTTTTGGTGCTGTGCTCGATGGAACTTCTGTTGGTGCTGTGCTTGATGGAACTTCTGTTGGTGCTGTGCTTGATGGAACTTCTGTTGGTGCTGTGCTTGATGGAACTTCTGTTGGTGCTGTGCTTGATGGAACTTCTGTTGGTGCTGTGCTTGATGGAACTTCTGTTGGTGCTGTGCTTGATGGAACTTCTGTTGGTGCTGTGCTTGATGGAACTTCTGTTGGTGCTGTGCTTGATGGAACTTCTGTTGGTGCTGTGCTCGATGGAACTTCTGTTGGTGCTGTGCTTGGAGGACCTTCTGTTGGTGCTGTGCTCGATGGAACTTCTGTTGGTGCTGTGCTTGGAGGACCTTCTGTTGGTGCTGTGCTCGATGGAACTTCTGTTGGTGCTGTGCTAGTAGGACCCTCTGTTGGTTCTGCGCTTGATGGACCTTCTATTGGTGCTGTGCTTGATGGGCCTTCTGTAGGTGCTGTGATTGTAGAACCTTCTGTTGGTTCTGTGCTTAGAGAACCTTCTGTTGGTTCTGTGCTTGGAGGACCTTCTGTTGGTGCTGTGCTAGTAGGACCCTCTGTTGGTGTTGCACTTGATGGACCTTCTGTTGGGTTCTCATCAGCAGGGAGCATGCTGCTTGCATCTGTAGAGGACAAAACTGCTAAATGCACATGAAAAATCGTCTCTGCTGGGACACGAGTTTAACAAAATAAAAGTTAAATGTTTAATATTGTAATCATCAACATATCTTTGTGAACAAATGTTGCTTTTTGTGGTGTTTTGCATATTTGACAAATAAAGCTTATGATTATTATTGCTCACCAAGGCCCTCAGAAGGTGTGGACTCACTTTCATCTTCAGGGATCGTTAACTCTTCTGCCTCGGCATAAGAAAACAAAGTGATTTTAACAGAGTACAATGGGTTTGCCTGTGGTCACAAAATCATATTGACTAAAACTGTTGTGTGTCTTGCCAAATGGGCAATTAATGTTGTCTGCTGTTTTCTCTATTGTCATAAATAATCAAATGTCAAAGTAACCTAGTTTATGATTACTTTTCAACAAGTGTCCTACAGGGGGAAAAAAAGATAAAGAGAGTCAAAAAGAAAGACTCACCTCCAATCCCTTCATCATTGGTCATCTCCTCATTGGAGGTTTCTAAAAAAAAAATATATCACAACTATACTTTAAGAGTACTGTTACTAAGAAATCAAGTTACATGAAGCAAAAGATCAGTACACTTTGATTTGGTTATTCGTGACAAAGCTACAGTAATTATACCTGTAGACTTTTTATTCTTTATGTTTAGGCATAAGTTAGCGGTCCTTTGAGCTGCGGTGGCAGTTTTTCTTGGTTTTAAGGCAGTATCTGTGACAGTCACAGAGACATAAGCATAAGTGTAAAATCAGGGCAAGATTAGATGCATGCAAATGGATGGATACATCTCTAATTCCACATTTCTGTTGTTAATTATTTGAATGAATAAATAATAAATATTACCATTCAATTGTTTGGGGTCAGTATGAGTTTTTTTTTTAAAGAAAGTAATACTTTTATTTTGCAAAGAAGCAATAAATTGATCAAAAGTGACAGTAACGACTTCTACATTGTTAGAAAAGATTACTATTGCAAATAAATGCTGTTCTTTTGAACTTTCTATTCATCAAAGAATCTTGAAAAAAATTCAAAAGGAATATTAAGCAGCAAAACCCTTTTCAACATTCAACATCTGAAGAATCATATGACAGAAGACTGGAGTAATGATGCTGTTATTACAAAAAAAATTATTTTAAATTGTAATCATATTTCATAATATGACTGTTCTTACTGTATTTTGATCAAATAAATGAAGTCCTGGTGAGCATAAGAGACTTCTTTCAAAAACAAAAACAATCTTACTGAACCCAAAGTGTGATATGCTGTTTATATATTTTTGCAATCAGTGTATGTTAGTCACATCAAAAACATACAATTAGTATCAGTTATTGCAAATCTATTTACAACCACACATGCATTTGCAGCGTTATCAGTGATCATTTATGTAGGTATTATTTGATTCAAATATGCTGTAGTTCCTTTATCTACTACACACAAAAAAACTCTTTGTAGTTTACATTATTACCTTCCACCAAGCACATGTTCTCATAATCAGGGCAGCACTGATTGAATGAGACACAGTCAATATCACAGTGACATGGATTGCCTCTATGAAAAGGCTCCCCACAGCGTCCTTTGCATGAGTCCTCTGTGATCAGAAATAATAGCAATGCAATATCACCAAAATGATTCTACAGACTGTTACAAAGAATATAGACTACACCAGTGCTTATGACATTCACATCAAATGCTACTCTGATATTAATTAAAGAAACAGCCCCAGATGAGAGTTCATATGAAACCTTACTTGTAGTACACATCTGTGTAAAGTCTGAACAGCACTCATTTAAGCTCAGACACTCGTAGTCACACTGGCACAAACTTCCTCTGTAGTAGCCTTCGCCACAACGACCCCTACAGCTACCTGGACAGAGAACAGTGTTTACTTTAGAGAGAACAGACTTTGACTGGGACTTCAGTATATTGAGAAACACGTATGTACATTTAGACACAGAGACAAACACAACAAGAGATGAGTTAATTATTTACAGTCATTTATTGCATGTTTTAGAGTAAAACAGTTCACTGTTATATTTACAGAATAAAAACAGATAGGTAGATAGACAGACAGACAGACAGACAGACAGACAGATAGATAGATAGATAGATTGAACAATATTCTGCTGACTTACTTGGATCTGAAGAGCCTGTGGAGGCATATGCAAACAGCAGCAGTAAGGACAGATGTGTAGTCATCTCGGTTGTTCACTGTTGGAATAACCTAAGAGAGCCTCTGTTTTTTCACCTGCAGTGATCTTCAATTTTATATAGAGGCAGAAAGCGTTGGTGTTCCCCTGTCGGTTCAATTATACAGTCAGTGATGAATTAGTAATCGTCTCGTTTGCAAGGGTGCGGTGATTCACACGGGCAAACAGACTTGCACATTCCCCCTCACTGTGTGTGCCTGTCGAGAACATTTACAAAGTTCGCTGGGTGACATCACAGACTATTTCTATTAAAATGTTCCAACTTCCAGGTGGGGAAATAAACGTTAGACATAAAAATACATATTTATCAACATTTTTAGGAAATTTATTTCTGTCAATAGGATTTTCTGGGTGCATTTTTCATAGCATCCAAATAATCTCAAATACGTTTAAGCAAAGCTTTCTGCGACATATAAAGCATATTATAGTGATAATTAATGGTAATGGCCTAGGCTATTTATGTTTTGTCAATGTAGTGTCCGTGTCCAGGTGCACCGTAACGGGGGTGGGGAAGGTTAGGACGATTCCAATGGCCCGGCGAGGGAGAGGGGTCCCGGAACGCGTTTTTTACCGAGGGGGAACCCTCCAGTCTTTTTTTCCCTCTTCCTCAGCTGCTCCTGGTTTATGTCATTTTGTTTTTCTAGCAATAAATAGGCCTATCAAAACAAAAATCTAACAAAAATCTTGAAATGGCAGAATGAATACATTTAGGCATTTAACTACTAGCCTACTATTTAAAGACTAGTTTGTGATTATTTATTTATTTATTGTTTGTGATTACTTATTTATTTATTTGCCGTTGTTAATAAACATTCCTTACATTTAAATATTTTCATTTTTTCTTATATAAAAATGATCGTGTTTACATTGCACGCATACTTTTATTACAATTTCTTTCCTTATAATTGATCTTCCAGACCAGTTTTATTATTAATTATTATTATTATTATTATTATTAACAATAATAATAATAATAATTATTATTATTATTTTATATACACAATGGTAATTCAAAGCGCTCTACATAAAATAGAGTTAAAATAATCGTAAAATTAAAACAACATGCATACTGTAAGAAATAAAATGACAATAAAAGCAAAGAACAAAAATCTAAATAATTAAAATTTATTTAAAATGTATCGAAACAGTTAAGAATAAAAAAAAGAGGATACATAAAATACAGTGCAATTATTATTATTATTATATGTTGAAAACAGTTGCACTGGTTTATATTTTAATATATAAAGGTTTTCAGGAATCCCTTTATTAATAGAAAGCTCGAAAGAACAGCATTTATTTAAAATAGTTCTTTTTGGTCTCTACTGTCACTTTTTATTATTATTATTATTATTATTATTACTACTACTACTACTACTACTTATAAATAATACGTTTATAAAATAAAAACGCAATAAAATCGCTCATGCCCAGTTTTGGTCAACCTGCGTTGTCTCACACCACCGACGGAAAACCCATTGACAGTATTTCGGTGGATACGAGTCGACTAAATGTATACTGTGCCCTTTAAACACCTTCATATGCAAGCGAGTGGAATAAACACCTTTTTTTAAATGTATCTCATTGCGTAAAATGCTGAGCTAAAAATCAGTCTTAAAAGATGTTTCCCCTGTCGTTATTAAGAGACAGAGTCACCCCTGTGTAGCGAGATGGTTCCGTCCAAATCTATAACAGGAAGAGCCGGTGTTTACAGTTTGCGAACAGGAAGTTGTGCATCGTGCCGCAATCGATGCAGTCTGTCAAATCGACTGATTTGTTGTAGAAAAAATGAATTTAAAGTGTTTGTCTGCGGCGCAAAGGCTTGGTCGAAGTTAACGGAAAGCGAACGCTGAGGTTTTTTTTTTTTTTTTGCAATAAGGTTGTCTACTGGAAAGGAAAACTGGTTTTCTTAGGCAATTCGCTTCCTGCGAGGTGACACCGCCGTACAGGTAGCCTGCTCGCTGTACAACTGTCCTGTATGAGGAATAGATCGGCACATAAAATAAACATTTCTCCCGAATACCGAGTAACAATTAACAAGCGAAGCAAATCAATCTAATGTATGACGATGAGAGCTTGTCCAGTGTGATTCTGCAAGTGTTGATACATTATATACAGCTCTGTCGAGAATCCCTAAAATGACACGTTGATTGGAAAACTTGCATGTGATTGCAACCATATGTCATTAACTGTGACATCTTAGTCTGAATGTTATTTTCAGATTGTATTTGAAAGCCAGGTTAGGTCGAATTAAAATTATAACTTAACTTAACATTCAGCTGCTTTTGACAACTTGCATGCTGCTTATCGTTGCATGTCAATGAATACTCAGTTACCCCGTTTAAAAAGTGAAAGCTTATTGCATTTTCTTGATTAACGTTGTCTGTCACCAGCATACATATCAAGGAGATATTCAAGATGTGGGTGCTTTTTGTAGTACAGACAGATACTCATTATGTTTTTCACTGACAGTGTGATAGGCAGACCATACCACCTCAGTGTAAGGATGGGTGCTGAGAGCAGTGCCCTGCCAAGCTGTGTGCTGGAAGAGCCATTGCTGACACTGCCGTCTGGTCTTACCATGTACTCTGCCCTCCTCCGGGATGGCAAGCCTGCCTCCGTCTTTGTGCATAAGCAAGACAATAAAGATAAAGTCAATAAAGCTGCCAAGGTAAAAGTAAACAGTTGATATGTAACCGCACCAATGACATACATTGGCTGTAAAAGGTTTGGACAAACCTACTCACACCTACTCATAATTCTCTATATACCTGTATATAATAGTAAATTCATTTAATACAAATTATATATAAAAAACACACTTAAATCTCAAATCTCTCAGCTATTTGTCATAAATTTACCTGATTCCTTTACAGCATTTGAAGACATTAAGGCACCCATGTCTTCTTCGCTTCCTGTCATGCTCAGTGCAGGATGGAGGTATACATTTAGTGACAGAACCAGTTCAACCATTAAAACGGCTGCTAGACAATCTTACTCCAGAGGAGATCTGTGCAGGCCTCTATGACCTGCTGCAAGCACTCGTCTTTCTACATGATGGGGTAAGACACTATTAATTATTGTTTTAAATATTTTTAGTAATATTTACACTTTAACTAAATAATTTCTTTCTCTTGTCTCTTAGGGCAAATCAAGTCACAACAATGTGTGCATATCCTCAGTGTTTGTCAGTGAAGATGGCCATTGGAAACTTGGGGGGATGGAAACTGTCTGCAAGTTTTCAGAGGCAACACCAGAGGTGACATCCGTAACTGCTTAAGTGTTGATTTATGCCTTTTGCATACATTATAGTGAGTGCAAATCTTTTTTTTTACCCTCTGGGACTCAATTTCTCTTTTGTTTCAAAAGATTTAGGGAAATTACATTTTTAATGACATGGTTCTGTTACAATTGGTTAAATACCTTTAATAACAAATATATACAAAGTTAAGTACTGTAACTCTGTTTATGTGTGACTTCCTCTCCAGTTTCTCAGAAGTATCCAGAATGTAAGGGAAAATGGTGCCATTCCTCCAGAGGAGAAGGTAGGAACCATATTTGTATTTTTTTAAGAAATTAAGACTTTGACTCGGCAAGGATGCATTGATGGTAAAGACATTAAAGATTTATAATGTTACAAAGATTTCTATTTCAAATAAATGCTACTCTTTTAAACATTCTATTTATCAAAGAATCCAGAGAAAACAAATGTACAACAAAGCAGCATAACCGTTTTATAATAGCAAAAACATTGATAATAAGAAGAAATGTTACTTATGTACCAAAACAACATATTAGAATGAAAATTCAACTTTGCCATTGTACAAACAAATTACATTTCCAAATATATTAAAATAGAAAACAGCTGTTTAAATATAATAAATTCATGTAATAATATCTCACAATATTACTGTTTTTACTGTATTTTGAATCAAATAAATGCAGCCTTGGTGGAGACTTCTTTCAAAAACATTATAAAAATCCTTCCAACCCCAAACATTAATTTAATGTTAGTGTGTATATATAATCATATTCAGATTTGTTGCCAGAATTTACAAGGCCTGGGACAAAATTAAAGGCTGACGACAGTCCTGATCATTATGTCTCAGCAATATAATAATGTTTTTTTATTTTATTTTTAGCTTGAAGGATTCAAAACTCTTCCTGACAAGCATGCCCACTCCCGAGATGCTTTTTCATTCGGGGTGATGGCGGAGGCTCTTCTTCCACTTCTGACGGGACATGGTTAGTAACACTCTTAATTCAACAGACGCATGTATAGCAGGATGAGTGTGTCTAGGATTCATCCTGTTGTGGCAGTTGCTAAGCCCTTACTGCATAGACATTGACATAATTGTAAATGGACTGACAACTGCGTGCAAAACGATTTTACATGTCGGGTACAAGTTTTCCATTCATGGCAGGTCATGATGTCTTCAAAGAACAAAATGATCCACATGAGCACTGTAATGGTGATGCAACCTTTTGGCTTTTATGTTGTTGTTTTTTGGAACAGGGCCTTACTGAAAACATATGCTCTGTTGTTTTTGTGCTATCTTTTTTTTTTTCTTTTAGTCTCACTCACTAAATTGTGGTATGTTTTTCCATTCCCTGTTTCTTCCACGTTTTTATTTATTTTTCCATGTCCGCTCCCCATCTTTGTAACCTCCATGTGCTCCTCCACCCAAACTTTCTGTCTCAGTCTCAGATGATTTATTGGAGAGTCTAAAGAACATGCTGCAGGCCAGCCTCTTGACCCCTGACCCCATGTCTCGCCCATCTCTCAGCAGTTTGCTGACCCACAAGTTCTTCAGGTTCGCTTTTAAAAACTTTTTTGTTAAAACTTTTCTGATCAATAGTGGTCTTTTGAAATCAATTTTAATTTCACAAATGTCAATTTCACCTCTATTGAAGTAAGATTATTAAGATAATTAAATGATTTAAATACCTAAACTTTGCAATATTTAATTCTTATAGAAATGACTTCTTAGATATCATGAATTTTCTGAAGAGTTTGACCCTGAAAAATGAAGAGGAGAAAAATGAATTCTTCAAGTAAGTTTCCCTTTCAAATGCATGATTTTATTACCCTAGAAGGGTGACGTGCTTAAATAACTAGTACGTTTCTGAAGGTTTCTCTTGGACCGAGTTCAGAACCTCCCAGAGGAGTTAATTGCTACACGTCTGGCTCCTAAATTGCTCAATTCATTGGTGTTTGCTGAGCCCATGGCTGTCAAAAGCTTCCTTCCGCACCTCTTACGGCCTAAGCAAGGTAGAACTA